TTTTAGTGGGTTTGGTCTCATTTGTATCCCTTTTTACCTAGTTTTCCGTAATAAACTGAAAACAATTTTTTAAAACAAAATCTATATAAAAAATGAGACCAACCCTCGTTGGCTTTTCTTTATAGGAGAAACTCAGTCAGCAAATAACAATGCAGCTTGATTTATTTTATTTTCGAGCAAACAATGTAGCTTGATGGTAAGGGCTTACTGACCAAACTGGCAGTTAGCGGTGTCAAAGCCCAATAAGTTTTTCTTACAGATTCAGAGTTCAATCAGTGAGCATACTCAAAGGAAGTGGCAGATTGCAGATTCAAGGCCCAGTAGGTTTGCATGCTTTTCAAATTATTTTTCTCAAAGCACACAACAAACTCAAATCTAATTGCATAACAGCCACCTGGATTTTAGCAAATCCGCCTGCTAGTTCCTCATGTTTTTCTCAGAAATAAAGAACAACTCGAATAAATGCAGATCAATTAAAAACATAGAGCAACTTGAATATAAGTGCAAATCTGACTGCAGGAAGATTAACAGTCTTTTATTCAAAATCATTCGCATTGGTTTTAGCAAACCTACATGCTTATTCCTCGTGGCCAAGTCGTCCATTGACAATGGATGCGACAAGGAAAATTTCGAAACTCCGAGTCTTCCTAAAGAAATAGAGTGGGTCGCTGTTGGTTTGTGCACGTGTGTTCGACGTGCTTTTGTGATGTCTGCTGCCCCGTCGGCAGGAGCGGGTGTGGTCATGGTGTCTCGAGAATGGGCATGGCCCTGTGGTGCCATTGTTTTACTGATGATTTTATTCTATGAGTTGAGTAATTACAAGTTATTCACCCGCAAAAAAAAGTTTTAGTGGGTTTGGTCTCATTTGTATCCCTTTTTACCTAGTTTTTCGCAATAAACTGAAAACAATTTTTTAAAACAAAATCGATATAAAAAAATGAGACCAACCCTCGTTGGCTTTTCTTTATAGGAGAAAATCTGTCAGCAAATAACAATGCAGCTTGATTTATTTTATTTTCGAGCAAACAATGTAGCTTGATGGTAATGGCTTACTGACCAAACTGGCAGTTGGCGGTGTCAAAGCCCAATAAGTTTTTCTTACAGATTCAGAGTTCAATCAGTGAGCATACTCAAAGGAAGTGGCAGATTGCAGATTCAAGGCCCAGTAGGTTTGCACGCTTTTCAAATTATTTTTCTCAAAGCACACAACAAACTCAAATCTAATTGCATAACAGCCACCTGGATTTTAGCAAATCCGCCTGCTAGTTCCTTATGTTTTTCTCCAAAATAAAGAACAACTCGAATAAATGCAGATCAATTAAAAACACAGAGCAACTTGAATATAAGTGCAAATCTGACAACAGGAAGATTAACAGTCTTTTATTCAAAATCATTCGCATTGGTTTTAGCAAACCTACATGCTTATTCCTCCTGGCCAAGTCGTCCATTGACAATGGATGCGACAAGGAAAATTTCGAAACTCCGAGTCTTCCTAAAGAAATAGAGTGGGTCGCTGTTGGTTTGTGCACGTGTGTTCGACGTGCTTTTGTGATGTCTGCCGCCCCGTCGGCAAAAGCGGGTGTGGTCATGGTGTCTCGAGAATGGGCATGGCCCTGTGGTGCCATTGTTTTACTGATGATTTTATTCTATGAGTTGAGTAATTACAAGTTATTCACCCGCAAAAAAAGTTTTAGTGGGTTTGGTCTCATTTGTATCCCTTTTTACCTAGTTTTTCGTAATAAACTGAAAACAATTTTTTTAAACAAAATCTATATAAAAAAATGAGACCAACCCTCGTTGGCTTTTCTTTATAGGAGAAACTCCGTCAGCAAATAACAATGCAGCTTGATTTATTTTATTTTCGACCAAACAATGTAGCTTGATGGTAATGGCTTACTGACCAAACTGGCAGTTGGCGGTGTCAAAGCCCAATAAGTTTTTCTTACAGATTAAAAGTTCAATAGGTGAGCATACTCAAAGGAAGTGGCAGATTGCAAATTCAAGGCCCAGTAGGTTTGCACGCTTTTCAAATTATTTTTCTCAAAGCACACAACAAACTCAAATCTAATTGCATAACAGCCACCTGGATTTTAGCAAATCCGCCTGCTAGTTACTCATGTTTTTTCTCAAAAATAAAGAACAACTCGAATAAATGCAGATCAATTAAAAACACAGAGCAACTTGAATATAAGTGCAAATCTGACAGCAGGAAGATTAACAGTCTTTTATTCAAAATCATTCGCATTGGTTTTAGCAAACCTACATGCTTATTCCTCATGGCCAAGTCGTCCATTGACAATGGATGCGACAAGGAAAATTTCAAAACTCCGAGTCTTCCTAAAGAAATAGAGTGGGTCACTGTTGGTTTGTGCACGTGTGTTCGACACGCTTTTGTGATGTCTGCCGCCCCGTCGGCAGGAGCGGGTGTGGTCATGGTGTCTCGAAAATGGGCATGGCCTTGTGGTGCCATTGTTTTACTGATGATTTTATTCTATGAGTTGAGTAATTACAAGTTATTCACCCGCAAAAAAAATTAGTGGGTTTGGTCTCATCTGTATCCCTTTTTACCTAGTTTTCCGTAATAAACTGAAAACAATTTTTTAAAACAAAATCTATATAAAAAATGAGACCAACCCTCATTGGCTTTTCTTTATAGAAGAAACTCCGTCAGCAAATAACAATGCAGCTTGATTTGTTTTATTTTCGAGCAAACAACGTAGCTTGATGGTAATGGCTTACTGACCAAACTGGCAGTTGGCGGTGTCAAAGCCCAATAAGTTTTTCTTACAGATTCAGAGTTCAATCGGTGAGCATACTCAAAGAAAGTGGCAGATTGCAGATTCAAGGCCCAGTAGGTTTGCACGCTTTTCAAATTATTTTTCTCAAATCACACAACAAACTCAAACCTAATTGCATAACGGCCACCTGGATTTTAGCAAATCCGCCTGCTAGTTCCTCATGTTTCTCTCAAAAATTAAGAACAACTCGAATAAATGCAGATCAATTAAAAACACAGAGCAACTTGAATATAAGTGCAAATCTGACAGCAGGAAGATTAACTGTCTTTTATTCAAAATCATTGACATTGGTTTTAGCAAACCTACATGCTTATTCCTCCTGGCCAAGTCGTCCATTGACAATGGATACGACAAGGAAAATTTTGAAACTCCGAGTCTTCCTAAAGAAATAGAGTGGGTCGCTGTTGGTTTGTGCACGTGTGTTCGACGTGCTTTTGTGATGTCTGCCGCCCCGTCGGCAGGAGCAGGTGTGGTCATGGTGTCTCGAGAATGGGCATGGCCCTGTGGTGCCATTGTTTATTGATGATTTTAATCTATGAGTTGAGTAATAACAAGTTATTCACCCGCAAAAAAAAGTTTTAGTGGGTTTGGTCTCATTTGTATCCCTTTTTACCTAGTTTTCCGTAATAAACTGAAAACAATTTTTTAAAACAAAATCTATATAAAAAAATGAGACCAACCCTCGTTGGCTTTTCTTTATAGGAGAAACTCCGTCAGCAAATAACAATGCAGCTTCATTTATTTTATAATTTTCGAGCAAACAATGTAGCTTGATGGTAATGGCTTACTGACCAAACTGGCAGTTGGCGGTGTCAAAGCCCAATAAGTTTTTCTTACAGATTCAGAGTTCAATCGGTGAGCATACTCAAAGGAAGTGGCAGATTGCAGATTCAAGGCCCAGTAGGTTTGCTCGCTTTTCAAATTATTTTTCTCAAAGCACACAACAAACTCAAATCTAATTGCATAACAGCCACCTGGATTTTAGCAAATCCGCCTGCTAGTTCCTCATGTTTTTCTCAAAAATAAAGAACAACTCGAATAAATGCAGATCAATTAAAAACACAGAGCAACTTGAATATAAGTGCAAATCTGACAGCAGGAAGATTAACAGTCTTTTATTCAAAATCATTCGCATTGGTTTTAGCAAACCTACATGCTTATTCCTCTTGGCCAAGTCGTCCATTGACAATGGATGCGACAAGGAAAATTTTGAAACTCCGAGTCTTCCTAAAGAAATAGAGTGGGTCGCTGTTGGTTTGTGCACGTGTGTTCGACGTGCTTTTGTGATGTCTGCCGCCCCGTCGGCAGGAGCGGGTGTGGTCATGGTGTCTCGAGAATGGGCATGGCCCTGTGGTGCCATTGTTTTACTGATGATTTTATTCTATGAGTTGAGTAATACAAGTTATTCACCCGCAAAAAAAAAGATTTAATGGGTTTGGTCTCATTTGTATCCTTTTTACCTAGTTTTCCATAATAAACTGAAAACTATTTTTTAAAACAAAATCTATATAAAAAATGGGACCAACCCAAGGGCTAATCCTCGTTGGTTTTTCTTTATAGGAGAAACTCCGTCAGCACCGCGCGTCCGTGCCAAGACTTGAACTTGGGTGGGCTGGCATCAACCTCAGCTGCCCAACCAACGGGTCAACACCCTGTCCTCAAAACAAAATCTATATAGAAAGGGTAAAAATGCCGTGTGTTTGGAAAAGAAAGTAGGAAAACAGAGTGAAGCAGGTACGATACAATCGACCAGTGACTTGCAACTAGAGACACTCCCGTAGCATGAAAATCTATGATGCTACCAGCAGATTCTACAAGTCAATCCCACGAATGGCACTGTGTTTTGAAGATATACAATACCGTCAATGCACCTTCGCGCGAGGACGTGTGACTAAGGCAGTTGAGAAATGATGGTACGAATAATCATAGACGGTTGAGCAAATCGAAGCTGCAGAGCCGGCCAGCTCTTCACCTAAACCAAGAAAATTGTAGCTACCACCTCTACGTACCTCGACCACACAAAGCACCTCCCTTTTTGGACTGACGACGCACGCACAGACATTCTGAATCTGCCCAACAACCGACCTAATCACACGATCACTTCGAACTGTATAAATTTCCAGCCATTGACCCATGTTCATACAACGCAGCAGAGCACAAGCAACATCTTGCAGTCACCTGCTACACAAAAGAGAGAGAGAGAACCATCTCTCAACAGTTCTCCTTCGCTAGTTCTAGCGATATGGCTTCCAACGCGAGCATGTTGGCCGTGATCATGGCGTGCGCGCTCCTCCTCGCCGGCAGCACGTGCCACGCCGCCCGCAACCTGGCCGACACTACGCCGGCGGCTGCCGCTCCGGCTGCTAGCGCCGTCCCTGGCCTGCCGGCCATGCCGACCTTGCCTGCCGTGCCCACGGACACGGTCACCCTGATGCCACCCATGCCGTCCGTCACCGTACCAACGGTGCCGCAGGTGACACTACCGCCCATGCCCTCCATCGTCGTGCCCAAGGCGGTCCTGCCGCCCATGCCCAAGGTCACCCTCCCCACCGTGCCGCAGGTGACGATGGCGCCGATGCCCGCGATTGTCGTGCCCAAGGTGACCCTGCCGCCGTTGCCATTCATCCCGAATGTGAACGTGCCTATGCCGTTCGCGGCACCACCCCCGTCAGCGTAGACGCACCCACGCGGCGGTGCTCTTGCCCTGTCCACGATAGGGCGCCGTTCATCTGAGTGTGGCGTCAGGTCACTCCGTGGACATGGCGTACATTTCCTTACATGGAAGCTCGGTGTTTTGTATGCGATGTATCACAGTATCAGTAATCTTGCTTTTTTTACGTCTCAGTAGTATATGTATTGGTAGTGTTTGAATGTTGAGGGTTTTGTCCCATTGTATGTATTTCTTGATCTTCTTAAATACACGCTATTTACCGTATGTTATCTTAGTCTTTTATAACTCTAATAACAGGATCCGTAAAAAAAAACTCTGGGTGAGGGTACAATTTTCACTTTCCTGTCAGGTGCTCCAAAATACAGTAAAAGAGAGGTCATTTAGCTCTTTTTGAGCCAGCCAAAGAAATTGTGAATTACAAAAATAAAGTGCAAGTTGCACAAAGTAGCGCAATTACTCCAAAAGGCAAAATTACACAAAATAGTGCAAATTGCATAAGAGAGTGTAATTGCACAAAATAAAAGTACAATGCAAAAAGTACAATTGCATAAGAGAGTGTAATTGCACAAAAAGGCGCAAATGCACAAAAAAAATTTATTGCAGACAAAAATTATAATTGCTCCCAATAACTGAAATGGACAATTTATTTCCATACCCGGTAGACAAAAATAACTACAAAAGAAAGAAAATAATAGGTGCCCAAGATGAATAACTAAAACTCTTTTGGAAAAACAAACACAAACATTCTTTACTTTCTTTCGTAGGGTAACTAACATTCTTTACCAAATTACTTGATGTTCTCGGTTTGTCCTAAATCCAACTTTTTATAGTTCAACTGTCGGGAATATGTAGCAACATATGCCAGGAGGTGGCTAATCATGAAGAGGGACAAGAGTACATCGCCGGGCTCTAGAGGCGGGAGTGAGCGAGACCGCATACGCCTGCGAATCTTTCCCAGGTTCGGGGCTCTCCGTGGAGATAACACCTCTAGTCCTGCTCTGCAGGGTCTTCGCACGATGACTATCGTCAATAGAGTAGCTACAAGATTGCTCCTTGAACTGTTTCGGCTAGAGGAGGAGGAAGAGCAAGGCTAGCCCTAACTTCTCCTTCTACAGGTGTGTGTGTAATGGCTAGGATTCTGAAACCCCTTGCATGGGGAAGCCCGAGGGGTTTATATAGGCCTACCCCCAAGGGTACAATGGTAATCCGGCCGGGTGTAGGACCCGGCCGTCAGCGTCTCTGGGCGCCGGCTTCTCCTCCGGCTGCTAGGGCCCACCTCTTGGTGGATCCCGCCGGCTGTAGTGTACTCGGCCGACAGGCTGGGCCCGCCGCTTGCGGGTCTTGCTGATCGCTTTATACTGTAGCCTTGCTACTAATGATGGAGGCTTTGTCGGGGGAGTGTGGCTACAGTCCCGCCGCCTGGCGAGCGCTCACTGTAGCCATACCCCGTCTCATCTGGTTAATGGCGCACAAACTTTGAGGGAAGGGAGGGCCGCTTGCTAGGAGTCGGCCAGCCCTTGACGCCGCCTTATTGGGGTTCGCCGCCTTCTGGTGGCTCGTGGACAGGTAGGGCCCGCCGCCTGCGGGCCGTACCGACCGCCCATCGTGGGAGCGTGGCTCCCTACGTCGTAGGTGATGTCACGGGCTGCATGGAAACAGTGCCCCGCCGGGTGAGGGGTGTCCGCTTGGTACGCCCGTACTATGGCCACGCTCAGCCCTAGATTCGGGGTGGCAGGTTGTACTGTAGCCACGCCCCGTCTAATTGCTATAAATGGGTGCAAACTTTGAGGTGGCACGGGGCCGCCTGCTAGATGCCAGCCCCATGGGGGCGTCTATTGGGGGGGCGCCGTCTCCTGGCAGCCGGCCGTCAGACCAGACGGCCCGAAGGGTCGGCCTTTCGTCCGCGAGGTGTGAGGGCGCAGTCGGTCCCAATGTCTTGAAATATCATGGAGAGCTGATGAGGCTACCCGTGGTTATTTACTCCGATAGTAGTCTCAAAAACTGGTGGGGTGTCGCGGCTGAAAGTCAAGGAGCCTCAGCAGCTTCCTTCTCCGAGTATCTGGTAATCTTGCTTCGTCCGCCTTCTGGAAACGTCGACTGCTAGGAACCGCCCATGGAGCGGCCGGCTGACTGGCAAATTCAAAATGTTGAAGTAGAGGGCCGGGTGGCTTGCTAGCCGGGTGGTAGGCTTGCCGCCCGTTGCTCATTTGCCACGCGGCGCCAGCAGAACAGGCCAGCCTGCCAGCCCACGCGCGCGACGGGACGTCGCCGCAGGCCCGGGCCCGCCACTATAGGACCCCGGCGCACGCGCGGATCCGTTGCGGCCGAGGCTGACGGTTGCCCTTTTGGGGCGCAGTAACTCCGCGCCGTTATGG